ATGCCTTTAGCGGTCGGTGGGCATTTGACGTAGCGAGGGGCTCCGCATCTGACCGAATCAGGCTTCAACTACTCTGTGGTTGGATAGATCTCCCACCTCGAGACCTCCAAAAATCTGCAATTTCGTCAATGACATCGCTATTCTGCCTTTGACCTTGAGTCGCTGTGCTATCATCGTCTGGGAGTATTAGTCGACTCGTCGCAGTCCTCTCCGACCGTCCTGAAATAGAGCCAGCTTGACTGTCATACCTAACCATGAAGGTTATGCGCACACGGAAATAGCATAGGCATGGAGAGAACACGGGTCGCTAAGGTTTGATCCATGACTACATACAATCCGAGTTGAGACAAAACGCATGGATCTGACTGTACTCCTCCTTCCCTCGACTCTCAGGTTGAAGATGTGACCTTGGCGCGTCGTGGTGAACAGGTTGTCGGCACGCTACACCTCACCCCTCACCATATTATCTTCTCCCACATACCCCAAGGAGCCGAGACTGCGCAAGCTCAGGGTACGCCTGTTCGACCGAGGGAGCTGTGGATAACATATCCTATCATCTCATTTTGTACATACCGCCCAACTCCCGCCGCATCCCGCCAGCTGTCGTCGATTCGCTTGCGCTGTCGAGATTTCACGTTCATTTGTTTCTACTTCGCCAGTGAGAGTAAGGCTCGCGATGTATATGAAAGCATAAAACTCTGGACATGCAAAGTCGGCCGGATCGACAAACTCTATGCTTTCACTTATCAGCCGCCGCCGCCAGAGCGAGAATTCAACGGTTGGGAGTTGTACGATGCACGCAAAGAGTGGGCTAGACAGGGCGTGGGCTGCGATGGTAACGACAATGGCTGGCGGATTTCCGAGATAAATACGGACTACGGGGTAAACCTTTCCCTCACGAGTAGCTCCATGATCGGCGTATTGACTTTGGATATCTCAGTTTTCACCGACGTACCCCGCTCTTCTACCGGTGCCGTCGTCCATTTCAGACAATACGCTCAACTATGCGGCTCGCTATCGGTCGAGAGCACGCGTACCTGTCCTAACGTATCGCCATCCCGTCAACAACTGCTCGATCACGAGAAGCTCTCAGCCTTTGGTAGGTGTACGGCAGAACCGAAGCATCCAGGATGAGAAGCTATTGGCAGCAATATTCTCAACATCCCGTACAGACAGGCCACTGGCTAACTTCACTCCACCACATCTGGAACATGATTCGCCAAGCTCGACACAAGGTGACGTTTCATCGAGCCAGATGCTGACTGATTTGACAAACGCCGAGGAATTGGAAGACGAAATGCTGGAGTCGTTCCGTGGGGATTCAGAGGAAAGACCTCAGATTTATGGTGCCCAGCAGCATAATCTAATTGTTGACGCACGGCCGACAGTCAATGCATTTGCTATGCAAGCCGTTGGTCTGGGATCAGAGAATATGGACAATTACAAGTTCGCTACGAAGGCCTACCTCGGCATTGACAACATTCACGTCATGCGGGACTCCCTCAACAAGGTTGTCGATGCACTTAAAGATTCAGATGTCACGCCGTTAGGACCGAATAGGGATCAACTTGCACGAAGTGGATGGCTGAAACACATCGCTGGCATTCTGGATGGCGCTGGGTTGATAGCTCGTCAAGTTGGCTTACAGCACTCGCATGTGCTCATTCACTGCTCGGATGGATGGGATCGCACGGGCCAGTTGAGCGCTCTGAGTCAGATATGTCTTGATCCTTACTTTAGGACGATGGAAGGGTTTATGGTACTCGTGGAGAAGGACTGGCTTTCTTTTGGCCACATGTTCCGTCACAGAACGGGTCCTTTGAGCAGCGAAAAGTGGTTTCAGATTGAAAACGAAAGAATTGGGGGCGATTCCGGTCGTGGCTTTGGAGAGGCTGGTGGTGCAAGCAAAGCCATCGAGAATGCTTTCCTCAGTGCAAAAGGGTTCTTTAACAGGGACAACACGAGCCGCGACTCTCTCCCGGATTCGGAAGGGGAGATGCAAAATTGTGACTCCGATAGTCCTAGAAAGCCAGGTTCCACCCCTAGAAGCGTTGTCTCCGAAAAGGAGGTAACCAAGGTGAAGGAAACAAGTCCGGTCTTTCATCAGTTCCTCGATGCGACCTACCAACTGTTATACCAATATCCAACACGATTCGAATTCAACGAGCGGTTTCTGAGGCGGCTGCTCTACCATCTCTACTCATGCCAATATGGTACATTCCTTTTTAATAGCGAAAAGGAGCGGGTAGAGATGAAGGCAAAGGAGCGCACTCGGAGCGTGTGGGATTACTTCCTTGCCCGGAGAGAACAATTTCTCAATCCCAAGTATGATCCTCAAATAGACGATCATAAGCGCGGCAAGGAACGCCTGATCTTCCCGCGTATCAATGAAGTCAGATGGTGGAGCGAAGCATTTGGTCGGACAGATGCGGAGATGAACGGAGTCCGCTCGACCAGCGTCACTCCCTCTGCTCGTCGTGGTAGTCCCGCCTCTGAGCCAACGCCGGTTTTGACGGGTATTGAGACAGCTCATCATGCTGTCGGAAGCGGAAGTCCTGGCAATGTGACCAGCAACGCTGCCCCGACCGGAATGGCAGCAGTGGCTTCAGGAATCTCAAATCTTAGTTTCTCCAAGGGAATGGAGAACTCTCAGGAGCCAAAAAATCTGAGTCAGATGGAGCTTGAAATGCAATAGGAATGAAGCAGACAATGAAAGATGATAAAGCACATAGCACTTGATTGCAGATTGCAGTTCACGATTTGATGTATGTTATGTTATGCGACGTTTACAACAAAGGATCGGCCTAAGCTAGGCCTAGAACATGACCAATATTCCTACGGCAAGGGTTGAAGATTTGCGAAGGCTGCTGGCGGGTAGGTACCTCATTCTAGCCTGAAAGCAGCTGTACTCCGTAGAAGGATATGTTGTCTGCAGATAGTTAGCCAATTGATGCCTGAGAGCCTGAACAGGATTAAGCTCTGAAAGCTAGTTGTTTGGACTATTCCTATTACGGAAAGGAGTCGGCGGAGTGCAAGCGAGGGTTGAGCCCTATCCTAGAAAGGAAGGACAAGCCCTATTCCCAGAAAATCCCCACTAACGCGGAATCTCTCAAATCTGGTCTGACGACTGCCGACCACTTCGCCCTCGAACGACTTCCCAACTTTGGTGCACCGCTACGGCCGTTTCTTCGACAACCTAGAAACCAACCAGCAGAAACGCAATTATGGCCGCTGTCCAGGGAGCTATTTCGAAGCGCCGCAAGTTCGTCGCCGACGGTGTCTTCTATGCCGAGTTGAACGAGTTCTTCCAGCGTGAGCTGGCTGAGGAGGGCTACTCTGGTGTTGAAGTCCGTGTCACTCCCACCGTCACCGACATCAGTACGTTCGCCCGATCATAAGTATTCTTTCCGTTAGGTTATTGGGGGTTTTGAAGGAGGCCAGAAAAAACATGCGGAAACCACGAAATTGGGGACGCAACGGGAGGAAGACAATTTGTCGCGAAGAATCACATGGAGATTAGTGTCATGATGCTAACGGATGCTCTTTTTTTTGCGCAGTCATCCGTGCCACCCACACTCAGGAAGTTCTCGGTGAGCAGGGTCGCCGCATCCGCGAGCTCACCTCCCTCATCCAGAAGCGCTTCAAGTTCCCCGAGAACTCCGTCTCCCTCTATGCCGCCAAGGTCCAGAACCGCGGTCTGTCCGCAGTCGCTCAGTGCGAGTCCCTCCGCTACAAGCTCCTCAACGGTCTGGCCGTCCGCAGAGCCTGCTACGGTGTCCTGAGATTCATCATGGAGAGCGGTGCCAAGGGTTGTGAGGTTGTCGTTTCCGGAAAGCTGCGTGCTGCCCGTGCCAAGTCCATGAAGTTCACGGTACGTCAATAGTGCTTTGTTGGAATTTGTTCAAGGCAAAGAGGAACTATGAGGGAAGATGAATGAAGGGGTTTCAGGATACAGGAGATGCAAGCAACGATACTGGAATCGTGTGACTGACTCTATCCTCTTTGTACAGGACGGATTCATGATCCACTCCGGTCAGCCCGCCAAGGAGTTCATTGACAGCGCTACCCGTCACGTCCTTCTCCGCCAGGGTGTCCTTGGTATCAAGGTCAAGATCATGCGCGGCTCCGACCCCGAGGGCAAGGCCGGTCCTCAGAAGACCCTCCCTGACTCCGTCACCATCATTGAGCCCAAGGAGGAGCAGCCCGTCCTGCAGCCCATGAGCCAGGACTACGGTGCCAAGGCTCTCGCTGCTCAGCAGCTCGCTGAGCAGCAGCGAATTGCTGAGCAGCAGGCCGCTGAAGGCCAGGAGGGTGCCGGTGCGGAGGCTTACGCCCAGGAGTAATCTGGTTTCTTTTCTCTAAAATAGGCCCTGCTCTTCTTTTCTTCGTTCCTGTCGTCCTACCTACCTACCTACTTCAAACCTCACGCAATAAAGAACACTACATGAACTTCAATTGTCTCCCTTTCCGACAATATTGTTCGCAACTGCCGGAGAATCTCTCTCGGGCTTACAGCTCTCTCCTAGATCCCTAGTGAAAGATCTAGGTAGGATACCAAAAGTGATGCTTGAAATGAAATGAGATTGCGGAACGGGAAAGTCGTTCACGTTGCGACTACTTGTACGAGTGCCACGGATGAGCTATATCGCTCGTTAAGCAGGTGGCCTTTCACTTAGACTTGCCAAAATTGTATGCTCGGTGGGTGCGTGGCTGTCGTATAACACTGGTGCAATAGCAACTGTCCGTTGTAAATTTCTACCGTCCAAGAAAATACACGCTCGCTGTAAGCCGGACTCCGGCATTTGTGCTGGAACTCTCCAAGAATGTGTGTGACCTCCACTCTAGCAGATCAGATAATCTAAATAAGGTAGTCCTTTTTTGTCATATTCAAGGTACGTCGTAAATCTAGGCCTGTAACTGTTTTGTGCCAACGGATCTTTCTCAAGGCAAATATCTATAATTTTTGCTAAAACCACTCCCCCATCTGCTTTGATAATCGCTTACAGGAAAGCCTCGATGTTGATCTCCAGCGTGCTCACGGGGTATTTCAGCTCGTACTTCTCCAATACTGTCGGGTGCAAGATACCGAAGGCACCGATGATGTGGTCCTTGCCAGCAATACGAAGGTTGACCGATGCCGCATGGCCCGGGAAGTAAGTGGGTTCTAAGACTGAGTTAGTACCCGACACCTACACGTAGCGAAAAAGCATGTAAGACTTACCGTCGAGCTCTTCAATCCAGTAATGCGAGTCACCGACGGCTGGGTTCTCGAGACCCTCCTCACCTGTGATGAAGGCGCTCTTGAGCATGGCCATGATGCGGTCCAGCAAGCCGTGCACAACTTCAAAACCGCTCGTCTTGCCGTACCAAGCTGCAGCGAAGTGTCTCTCGTTACGGCTTTTACGTTCCAGAGCCAGATCTTTGAAGGCGACATCGCTGCACTCGAAGATCTTGATGGGTACTGCGTGATGCTTGTTCTCACGAATGGTCTTGAGGAGGCCAGGAAGCAGGCTTGTGCGGACAACTTGGAACTCTACGGTCTTAGGATTTGCCAGTTTGACGGCGGTGTTGCCGTCATCTTTGCGGTTGAGCCAGGCGAAGTTCTCGTCGTGAGAACATAAGATGAGGGGCAAGACTTCTGTCCACCCGGCCATTGCAGCTTCCATTCTGACAATATCGGTGAGCTTATTGATGGGTAGTGGCTGAGCAATCGTACCCGACTTGCTGGGGAAGGACCGCGGGAGCGAGTTGAAACCGTACGCAATGGCAACATCCTCCATGATATCTGCCTGGTGAAGCACGTCCGCGCGGGTGGGGGGAACATCCACGTCAATGAGATCGGGCGAAGATGCAGACGGCCTTGCTTGGTAGGACATCTTGGTCAAGAGCTTGCAAATTTCCTCGGGAGAAAGCTCCAGTCCGCAGCACTGGTTGATGTAAGACACCTCGGCCTGAGTGGTACGAGGTGCAATGTCAGGCTCGACCCTGGTCTCGTTATTGTGTTCAGAGACAATCTGAACAGGCTCAACACTGCGCAAGAATGAGTTAGTATCAGGCGTACAAGGCGAGGCAGACCGTACATACGTGAAGGGCTCGGAAGTATATTGGGAGAACATCGTGACCATGATCTTGGTGACGATGTCGAGCTTCGTCTTGTCAAGAGCCGTAACCTCGATCAAGACATTCTTGGTATCTAAAGTAATCTTTGAATGGTCACCGTTGATGATTGGCGGCAGGGAACAGACAGTCCTCTTGGAGTCGTAGATGACGGGGTAAACGGGGGAGTCGCGGATGATGTGGAGATATTTGCCCAGATGCTTGTCTTTCTGTTTATGAGAGTAAGTATTAATAGGATCAACCCATGGCCGGTCAGTGTCATACCTCGTAAAAGGACATTAATTCCTCGCCGTTCAGTTCTTTCGTCTGGTTCAAAGGCACAAATTTGATGTCCTTTGGTGGCAGTGCCTCGTAGGTGAAGGGGCCCTGGATAGTGTCCAGGTCATGGGTACCGATCGACACAAGAGTTCTCTGTCTGGCAAGGTTCTGGTGGAGTTTGTCTTGCAAAGCAATGAAGGACTCATAGCGGGCTTTGTCGAATTTGATGTTGCGAAGAATAGCTCCGGAAACCAACGGCCTTACTTTCATGGTCTAGTTGAAGATTTGTTTAGTCCATATTGACCCGACACTGAAATTCCGACCACATCCACTTACGTCTTCCTTGACAATGATTTTCTCCAGCTGTCCATTGTCGGGCTCAACCAATCGGTAATTGGGGAGAGGCTTCCGGCCCAGGAAGATGTTGAGCATGAGCTGGATACCCTCGAAACATAGCAGATCGTAACTGTAGAGAAGACTCAGTATATAGATTGGAGTGTTTAACTTTTGCCGAAAAGTATGCGTACCGGTTGGCGGGGATTTCGATCTTCAGCTGGGGCGGCTCCTGCTTGCCATCGACGATGGGTCTGTCCGAATTTGTGGTCTGTTTTTCTTAGCAATGTTCAATCGTGTCTCTCAGGGTGTCCGAGGGCGCATTACATCTTCATCGAGCTCAATGCCTGCAGGGAAAGCCGTCAGAGAGAAACCCCGCCAAAAAAGGTGAGGGATCAATGAGTCAAAACTTACCGAATTCGAAGCACAGCTCATCAAATTCCTCCGTCGTATATCTTGGTGGTATGATTAGTCACAAGATGTTTGAAGACATTGACACAAAAGAAAACATACTCCCGACCAAGCTCTTTAAAGAGCGCGGCCTTATCGACCGAGATCGTGGGCATGATGAGGGGCTTGTTCTTAGCAACTGTGTAGAAGGTACACCGTGATCAGACAACGATTGAATCCTACCAACGCACTGGTATGGAGATGAGAATGAGTGTTCGAGTTATTCAATGCAAATTGACAGCGCTGGTAACTCCGCCGATGCTCTGTCTGTTCTCTAGTGTCGGGCAGATAATCGCAGTCATAGAAGTCCGTGGCACTTTTGTCTCCGTTGGGGCTTGACCCTCCGCCGATCAAGCCACAGATTGACTGCACCGCCACTAATTCACCCCTCCTGATTCCTTAGGGCCTCAGGCTTTGCCTTGGTTATTTTTACCCCCACCAGCCACAGGAGCAGCTAGTACTTCGTAGTACTAGTGCCTCAGGTTCAGGTGAGCACCAGCGACCGTCGAAGCTCGCCTCAATAAGAATAGTAGCCGTTCTGATACCAGCCTCTACAGATTCATTCGAGGCTATTCTCCTTTCTCAAGTTAGGAGTTTAAATTCTTCCATTATTGTTTGGCAACGAATTGCTGTTTTGCTGAATTCAAATCTCAATTGTCTAGGTAATTCTGATACTCAGTCAAGTGTCCTGCGGCGGCCCAAACCCCACGAAACCTCGCTCTGGGGTTTCTAACCATTATCCCTTCCTATACCACTAGAACTCTGCTATCAACAGCGACTAATATCAATCTAAGCGCAGGTGCTTGATAATTTCATCCTCTTCACGACAGCTCTACTTTGTCGACCACAGAATAACTTCCGGAGCCCCTGTTCAGTTCGCGTCATACCGGATTGATCTACCAACATAATTCCAATTCCTGCTGAGGCCTTGAATCTGCCGCATCCCTGCCTCGTTAGCTTTTTTTTTTTCACTCTTTCAATAGTACATTGAAAAGCATACAGAAGTTCCCGCGATGGAGGGTCAGGGAGAAAATGATGAGCTCTACCCCATTGCTGTTCTCATTGATGAACTGAAGGTACAGTTGCTCTTTCACCCACATCATCTCTTTCGACGCATACTGATAGTCGCGTGCGCCGTCTCGTTTAGCATGATGAGGTCACTCTTCGCATCAACGCTATACGCCGTCTTTCTACGATTGCATTGGCCTTAGGACCGGAGAGAACCCGGGACGAACTTATTCCTTTCCTCGATGGTTAGTTCGACCAGATTTTGTCCATGATAAGACTTTAGACCTAATCTACGGTTTCCGCAGACTCTGTTGAGGACGAAGACGAAGTCCTAACCGCTCTGAGCGATGAGCTAGGCAATTTCGTGGAATATGTTGGCGGTCCGGAATTTGGCCATGTACTCCTTTCTCCCCTGGAGAACTTGGCAGCCATTGAAGAACCATTGGTGCGGGAGAAGGTAAAAACCAGCGGGTTGGGTCTGTCGTTTCTTGTGCTGACAGAAAGCTAGGCCGTCGAGTCGCTCAACAAGATCGGGGAGGAATTATCCGAGAAGCAGATCGAAGAATACTTCATCCCCATGGTTATTCGCCTGTCGAAAGCCGACTGGTTCACATCGAAAGTCTCAGCCACGGGTCTTTATTGTGTTCCCTACAGAAAATCACAGCCGCCACTGCAGCAAAGTCTCCGCCAATATTTCGGAGGCCTTGTACATGACGAAACGCCGATGGTGCGACGACAGGCGGCAAATAATCTTGCCAAGTTTGTCAAGGAAATGCAGACACAAGTGATCATTGAAGAAATAATACCCTTGTTCCAATACTTGGCCAGTGACGATCAAGACAGCGTGCGCTTGTTGACTGTGGACATTCTCATCTCTATCGCCGAGGAAATCCCAAAGGAGCAGCAACCCAGCCATGGTGTCCTCTTGACTTCCCTACGCAACCTTTTCGAGGATAAGAGCTGGCGAGTGAGATACATGGTTGCCGATCGATACGAGAAGGTATTTTGTTCCTGGTGCGGCTTTTGGTTATCTTGTTTAGGCTGTGCTGATATCTTATGGCAGATCGCTAAAGCTGTTCACGAAGAAGTTGTCACTCGCGACATGGTGCCCTCATTTGTAAAGCTTCTGAAGGACACTGAGGCTGAAGTTCGGACTGCTATTGCGGGCCAGATTCCAGGTATGTAAAGCTCTTATGCAGAATAGGACTTGGCTAACTTGATGGCGAATAGGTTTCTGCAGCTTGATTGACAGGGAGACCTTGCTTAACGAGATTATGACAAGCGTGGAGGATCTTGTTTCGGATCCATCCCAGCATGTGCGAGCCGCATTGGGTACTCAAATCAGCGGACTGGCCCCGATCCTCGGGAAAGAAGAGTCAGAGTGATACGATTCTAAGTTTGCTTGGACATGAATGCTGATAATATGCGATTAGGACGATTGCTCATCTGCTCCCGATGTTCCTTCAGATGCTCAAAGACGAGTTCCCCGATGTTCGCTTACATATCATTTCCAAGCTGGAACTGGTCAACAAAGGTAAGGTTCAAGGCACAACTTTGTCATTGGTTATATCTAATAGTTTCAGTCATCGGCATCGACCTCCTTTCGCAGTCGCTTCTCCCTGCCATTGTCCAGTTAGCTGAAGATAAACAATGGAGAGTTCGCCTTGCTATCATCGAGTACATCCCTCTTCTTGCTAGTCAGCTGGGTGTCAAATTTTTCGACGAACAGCTCAGCGACTTGTGCATGGGCTGGCTCGGTGACACTGTCTTCTCCATCAGAGAGGCTGCCACTCAAAATTTGAGAAAGCTTACAGAAGTCTTCGGAGTTGAATGGGCTCAGGGCTCTATCATCCCGAAGGTTATGGCCATGGGACAACACCCTAACTATCTCTACAGAATGACCACATGCTTCGCTATCTCTGTGAGTTTCTCTGGGCATTTTTAAAGAGCTGGGCCATTGCTGACTATGTTAGACTCTCGCGCCCGTCGTCTCGCTGGACATTATCGAAAACTCAATCCTTCCTATTCTAGACAGACTCGTAACGGATGATATCCCCAATATCCGCTTCAATGTCGCCAAATCCTACGCTGTATTGATCGACACACTACAGCGCCTTCCCGCCCAAGGGACGCTATCCGAGCTCGAGAAAGCTGGGAAACCAGCGACCTCGTCACCTCGGGGTCAGGAGCTTATCCAGCAGAGAATCCTCCCCAGTCTAGAGAAGTTGCAGCAGGATGAAGATGTCGATGTCCGGTATTTTGCAACGACTGCCGCGGGCGGCCACGAGGAGGCCATGCAGACTTCACCCTAGGCTTAGTTGTTCGATTATGCTACTTCGTTGCATGCACCACTTCATACCCACGTCCGAAGGGAGCTTTTCAATAGGGGTAGCGGGAGTAAATATAGGACTTGCGCTTCTGTGGGGGGCGGGGGGGCCGGGTTGGAAACTTGTCAATCTTGTCCACTTAGAGAAATGGTTGGGCCAACTGACTCACTGAATGAAATAATCCATGCCGTTCATGAAGTAGACTTTGTTCCATCATGTGAAACCAGCAATAAAGTATCTGAGACTTGCAAAGAAATGATTTATTGCCATTTATTTAGGAAGTTGAGGGGCAAAAAAAGAAGAGGAAACGAAGTAAAAAAGAATCGTCAGCGATAGGACTCGAACCTATGCGGCCGAAGCCAAGTGATTTCTAATCACTCCCCTTAACCACTCGGGCACACTGACTAGGGCTATTTTACAAAGAATTCAATTTAACCTATCATCCAGAAAAAATGCGACTCACAGTGATTACTAATGGCATGCTCGTCCCAAGTCCAAGAATGCTGGGAGACGATTCGTTGAACTCAGATATGTTTTCTACAGGTGTTGCTTTGTCTAACTCAGGTAGCATTACAGAGTTGCTACTTAGGGACATTCAACATTAAACCTCACCTACTTCCGAAGTATCCATTGGCGGCATCAAAAACAACCGGCATTACCCCACCTTGGCTTATCGCCTTTGCAATTTCCTCGCTCTTAGCTAGCATACTGATGAGAACCATAAAGAAGTTCCACTCTTCTGACGTTGTGTAACTGCTATCTTCCAGCATATTTCTGCCACTACCCTCACACCTACACTCGAGTGAGTATACGATACAGATAGTATCTGCCAGTAGTATTTTAATTAAATTCCCCTTCCCCAACCTGAAGCCCAGCTATCTGTCTTGTGCATAGTAGTGAAGTGTTTGTAAGCTTAGGGGTTGTTCGTTGTGGTATGTCGCTCATTAAGCTCATAAATGTAAAAATATGGCATTTTCTTCAGCTTCAGTCAGTGTGCCCGAGTGGTTAAGGGGAGTGATTAGAAATCACTTGGCTTCGGCCGCATAGGTTCGAGTCCTATCGCTGACGATTCTTTTTTTTTTGCCCCCATTCTCTACGCTATCCCCAGGGCCTATCATGCATTAGAATACTAGGTAGCTTCATTCAAGCTGCCTTTCAAACTTGACCAACCAGTGTGTAAACGATTTGCGCTGATATTCCCGTGCCTTCTCCGCGCTCGAGTAGTCAGGATCCTACCATCGTAACAGTCCAACAATCATACAGCTGGTATGTCGCTGTCGTGGCCTTGGCACTTCGCTCTTGTTTCTCCAGCCGAACAGCAGCATCGCCGCGAGCTTCTTGATCTTCGGGGATACTACGCTCAACTTTCTGTTCTCATTGCCCTGGTCGCATTGAGATGCTATAAGAGCTCTTTTTCGCACGCAGAGTATGCAGATGACCCTCAGCGAGCACACAGACCATGGAGGGAATCCGCCCCTTTTCGCGGCTTTTCGGAGACTCGAGCACAATATGTTGTCTGTTTGATCTGGCTTGGTTGGCTTTTGGGACTCTCCATGTGGAGGAGTGGCGAGGGTATGTACTTTCTTAAGTTGGCGTATCGTCTGGCCGTCCCTTTGCGTAGGAACAACAATATCCCACAGCTCTTTGACAAAGTCGACACTTGCATACTCTATTGCTCAATTCACGATAGACGAGAGCTAAATGACAGCTTTTCTGCCAGATTATCTCCACCTAACCAAAGCGTTGGGCCATGTTGCGATCTCGCAGCTGCCATTCCAGGT